ACTTTATAGGTTTTTGGTTTTCGCCTTTTTGTGGGCGTTTCAGTGGGCCGATTTTGCCCATCTTCGAACTTAACCTTCTTATGAAGCCAAGAAATACGTGTACCAAGTTATCATGATATCTCAATTTTTACTCAAGTTACAGCTTGCACGGACGGACGGACAGACAGACATCCGGATTTCAACCCTACTCGTCACCCTGATCACTTTGCTATACATAACCCTATATCTGACTCTTTTAGTTTTAGGACTTACAAACAACCGTTATGTGAACAAATCTATAATACTCTCTTTAGCAACTTTGTTGCGAGTGTATAAAAAGTTACTTCTAATATCACCATTATATACATATATACAAAAAAAACATGAAATTCGATCTTGCTTACTAACTACTTAAAAAAAATATTTCTACATAAATTGAACAGAAAATATTTTCAGTCTATCAGTTTTCAATATATCACATTTTTAATTAATCTACCCTAAATACCCCAAATAAAAATTGCTGATTTCCTCAAAAACTAATGCCGACACTTTTGCCTCGATATTTGTGACCATTTCTGGCGGAAGACTGGCTTCCGAAATTTTCGTAGCTAAGGATGCAAAATGTTGTGCGGTGGAATTTGTTTTACGCGATCGTGATTCGTTAATCATAGTACATATGCTCGCGCCTGCCGTTTCGAGGAATTTCGCGAACGCGTCCCCGTTCTTTCTCTCCAAAAATGGATTGGAAACTAATGAATAAATTTTTCAAAACAAAACAAAGAAATAAAATATACCTTTTGTCCACGTYCATCCGARGATGTCGGCTGCGACGTTTCCATTGTCGTCGATGATGTTGATGCCTCTAAAAGATCTATAATTAAATTGTTTTGGACACTTTCGACGTCCTCACTTATGCTGCTAATAGTACTGTAAAATACATAATTAAAAAATAATAATTTTCGTTACAAGTACATACAATAAATGTAGAATTATTATACAATTAAAATAATACGTACCACAAGTAGACCAATTCGCTTAAATTTCAATAACACAATGGCCGGCATATACACAAAACAACGCGGTTGTCCATTTTGTATGTATACAATTTCGTTGTGGCCATACTAATACCTTACACTTCAATGAAATTTTGATATTTTGTTCAAGTGAAATTTTTTATGCAAAAAATAAGTAAATAGGTAAATTTAATTGCTTTAAATTATCAATTGTTATTACAAATGATGTAACAGAGCTATTTTATGCTTTTATTTGTAAAATAACGTCAAGTTTGTTAGAGCTGTCAATAATTTTACATTTTACATATTAGTGGCATCACCACTCTACCTCATCTCTCTGTCTTCCATTCTACTGTCAACTCTACTGTCGTCCTACTCTCGTTGGCAAATATAGGATAAAATTGAAGTTAGCGAGAACGACAACTGTCGGCCTGCCGTCGTGTAGTCGTGCAGTTGTCAAAATAGGTCCGTCCATAAGAACGTGTGTATTTTAATATTTGACAGATGTCGTTTGCAGTCTGTCGCGAGCATTGTATTCAACACATTAAAGTGAATTAACGGTTTTTGGTTTTATTTGTCAATCNGACAGATGTCGTTTGCAGTCTGTCGCGAGCATTGTATTCAACACATTAAAGTGAATTAACGGTTTTTGGTTTTATTTGTCAATCCAGAGATACGAACCTAGTAAGGAGTAAATTCGCAACAATTGGTGTCAGAAGTGGGATTGTCAAATAATCCAAATTCAAGATGGTTAAATTCGGGGAATTGAGAATTCACCAATTAAAAAAGGAACTGGAGGAGCGTAATTTGCTGATAAGCGGACAAAAGGCGGATCTGCAGGCACGATTACGTGAAGCAATGGAAGCGGATGGAATTAATGTGGACGAATTCGAATTTGATGGCCCAGAAACTTCTAGAAAGGTAGAAGAAAAAGTGGAAGAACAACGAACATCATCAAGTGTAGACATGAACATGCTGTTAGTAGCTATTAAGCAAATGGCAGAAGATGAAGTGCAAACAGAAAATCGTTAAAAAATGACGAAGAAAATTTAAAATCAGAAGCTCTTCAATTGAGTAATCGTATGCCAGAACTACAATTGCATGGCCCTGCTCCATAAACAAATAATCCAAGATTGAAGGCACCCACATTCGATGGAAGTATTCCATTTCAAATTTTCAAACTTCAGATTGAAAAGACAGCAATGGCCAATAACTGGAATGCAGCGGACAAAGTGGCGTCCTTGTTTGTATCATTGAAAGAACCTGCGGCAGAAATCCCTCAGACTATTCCAGATTGTGAACGGGACAACTATGTGGCTTTGATGAGTGCGATAGAAAGACGATATGGTAGTGAGCACCGGAAACAAATATACCAGATCGAATAGCAAAATAGGGGTCAGAAAATGAACGAGTCATTGCAAGAGTTCGCAACTGAAATAGAACGACTGGCTCATTTGTCAAATGCAGATGCACCTGTGGATTACATTGAGAGGGTGAAATTCAAAGTTTCATAAATGGAAATCGTGATGTGGACACACAACGCGCCACATATGCATTGCCAAAAAGAACGTTTGCTGAAACACAGTAAACAGCTTCTCTACTAAGTAAATCAGTACACAAAGTACAAAGAGTTGAAAAGGAACAACCGGCGCTGATGGAAGAAATATTGAGGACTCTGAAGACAATTGCTCCACCGCGAGTAAATACAACAGGCAGATGTCCCTTTGCCCGAAATCGCAATACAAAAGTAAACCCATCAAAACGGAAACAACCAACAGATAACGAGGACAGAGTATCCACTTCTCACAAGTCGTTAAACTAAAACGGAACAGTTCAAAGGGGCATGAACTAGTTTCCACAACTATTTGCCCCGTCATCTCGATATCACAAATAGGTCGCCATGTCAACAATCTTACTATCAACGGTATCGTAAATGGAAGACTGTCAACGCTTACTTTGGATACTGGTGCCACATATTCAATTATCGGACCGGATGTGGTAAGAAGAACGGTTGAACCATTAGTCGGTTGCAAGCTTCGAACGGTCACCGGGGAGAAAGCAGCTGTTGCGGGAAAAGTGGTTTGCGAAGTGACGATTGGTACCCTGGTAGTAAATCACACCTTCATAGTAACAGAAATCACGGATGAAATTATAGAGGGAGTAGATTTCATGATTGATCACGGGATTACCTTGGATTTAAACAAGCAAATGCTGTTTTGCCAGAATATGGAGATGCCTATAAACACCGGATATGTGACCAACGTTGAAAGTAAGAGGGTGATTGTTGATGATAATCAGAGTATTCCACCAAAATCTGAGGCGATTGTATGGGCTAAAGTGAATGGAGGAGGTGGGACTGAGGAATTGTGGATTGTGAAATCAACAAAAATAGATACACCCATATTGGTAGGAAGAACACTTGTGAAAACTAGAGAAGATGCTACCATTCCGATCAGAGTGGTGAATGAATTCAACACGCCTATGAGTCTGAAGAAAGGAGCAGTAATTGGACAGTGCCAGAATATAAGTGCAATATCACGATGCGAACGGTCACAACAGAAGCCTACCATTGAGCCATAGCAGATAAGTCCTACACTCCTAAACAATTTGCTGAACGAGGTGCAGGGAAAGGAAAAATTAAAAGCAGAAAAACTATTAGAAAAATACGCATCCATAT